ATGTCAATCTTGACGAATCTCCATCTTTTCTTCTCTTGGTATTACGTATCACATTCCAACCGATTCGTTCAACCATTTTCTTCTGAACATGTGACATCAAACCTAACGCGTCCTGTAAAACTTATCTTTAAACTTCAATATGATCTCGTATACCCACTGCAAATTTCTAAAAGCATATATCATGCAAGTATGTATTTTGACATGGTCATAGCAACCTATTAGAAGCAAATACCTAGCTAATCCTGGAGGGTTTGGTAAGAGTGGTGGTTGGTTAATCATTCTTGAGATCTCTCTTTATAAGAACACTGATTTCAGTTTCCAACACCATGCACTCATTTCTCAAAGAAGATTAACCCTTTTAGTTCATTCATGGCTTCTCTTCTCTACACTACCTTTACTGTATTAATGGCTATCCTCTCATCCTCGATTGTATGCTTCGCTTTTCCAGGGTTCAGCTTCGGATGGGGTGGTGGAGCTGGTGGCGACGGTGATGGGTCTTTTGGCAATGGCCAAGGGTATCCTGGTCTTTTCCCCGAATTCTACAGTTTCTCATGTCCTCAAGCTAACGACATTGTCATGTCTGTTCTTGAGAGTGTCATTGCAAAGGAGCCAAGAATGGCTGCTTCTTTACTAAGACTTCACTTCCATGACTGCTTTGTTCAGGTAATTAATCAACTAATCATGTAACCTTTTTTCTTCATGCTTCATGATACATTAGCGTAAATGGAATTTTGAACTCAAATGTTGTAACTCCTTTGTGTTTTATAACTGAAATTCATTTGCTATACCTGTCTTTTAACAGGGATGTGATGCGTCTGTCTTGTTGGATGATAATGTAATGTTTGCAAGCGAAAAAACCTCTGGGCCTAATAGCAATTCAATTAGAGGATTCGAAGTGATCGATGAGATCAAGTCTAAACTGGAGGAAGCATGTCCTCAGACAGTTTCTTGTGCTGACATTCTTGCTCTTGCTGCTCGAGGTTCCACTGTTTTAGTAAGCATTCAAATCTTCATATATCGTTAATTCTTGTTGTTTCGAATTATTCCCCATTTACTATAACCATGATTTTCTTATAAAACAATGCAGAGTGGTGGACCTAATTGGGAACTCCCGTTGGGAAGAAGAGATGCAATACAAGCAAGTCTCAGCGCCTCAAACAACAACCTTCCTCCACCAAACTCCACCATTCAAAACCTTATAAAACTTTTCCGGCGACAAGGGCTTAATGAAGTTGACCTGGTGTCGCTTTCTGGTTAGTTAAAAAACGGAAATAGTTATTGAAACTTTTCTTTAGTTTCTTATTGGTTGTTGTATCATATATGCTTAAATCAAGACTTATCTTTTATGATTCTTGAATTAGTTTGATATGGTGGGGGATGAAATGATTAATTTCTGGATTGTGGATTTGTGTTGTGTTCTTGTTTGTTTGGTTTTTTGATTTAATTCTATTTCTTGAAGGAGCTCATACCATAGGAATGGCTAGATGTAGTGCATTTAAGCAAAGGCTATACAATCAAGATGGAAATGATGAACCAGATTCAACTCTAGAGATAACGTACTCCAATGGTTTAAAAACAGTTTGCCCGAAAACTGGTGGTGATAACAACATTTCACCTCTAGATTTTGCATCTCCTTCAAGATTTGATAATACATATTTTAAGCTCATTATGTTTGGAAAAGGACTTCTAGCTTCCGATCAAGTGCTTCTGGCTGGAAATGTTGAAGAAACTATGCTTCTGGTGAAGGCATATGCGGAGGATTATGCTCTCTTTTTTGACCAGTTTGCTAGATCTATGGTGAAAATGGGAAACATTAATCCACTCACTGGTTATCAGGGCGAAGTGAGGAAGAATTGCCGAATGCCCAACTAATTATATCTATATAACTATTCGTGGTATGAATTCATGAGGTGTATGATATGGGTTTATGTATGTTGCTTATTTTCTTGTAATGCTTGATGCCCTAGATTCTAATGAACTGATATATGGCTTCTTGTAAGTTGTGAGAATCATATGTATTTAGTAGTCCATGATGCATTGAACTTGGAGCATTTACAATGGGGATTTAATAAGAGTTGAATAGATAATGATTAGGATTGAATAGAAGTTTAATGGAGTGTGAGTGATGATATGAATGAGAGAGTTGCATGATCATTGAGTGATTCAATTGATTTAATATTTTCTTTTTCAATTAAATATCAAACCAAATATAGAAATCCATTAAACTTTGTAGGGTTTAATAGATTGTGGATGTTAAAGAGTATAGTTGAATAAAAAGTGAAATACTGATATGATATGATAGTGATATGACAATCCATTAAACTCGTTAGATTTCAATGGATTATGGATGTCCGTATTAGAGTTTACTTGATTGACACATCATCGGTATATTCTACATACAACTTTGCAAAAAAATTCATACAAACTCCTCTCAAGGTTTAATAGAACATAGTTTTAATGACTAAAATGTTTCATTTTCGAATTGAAAAGTTGAATGACTATTGAAGTATATGTGTGTTGAATGCCAACATTGGATACCACAATGGCAAAGTTTAATTCATTAAAAGTCATTTAGGCATGACACATCGTTGATCTAAGTCAATTACGGATATCCAGCAGAAATTAAATAATTATATTTGAAATTTGAAATTTATGATAAATATTCAAGAAAAGTAAAGATCTTGAATGAATTGTTATACATAAATGGGGATAGAGCTAACTACTTTTGGTTTTGGATGCGGATCTCTTGACGAATTTATATTTCACCATCCTTGCAATCTTGAAGAACCAGAAAGCACTTACTAACTGAAGTCCCAAGGCCATTGCCTACAGATATTTGACATTAACATCATTCACTTTAAGCTTTTTAAGGACACAAGTCAATAACGCTATAAAAGTCTTTCAAAATGTGTAATTAGATTATACCTTGATGAGAATAGGATTATCGGCAGATAGTGTAACATAGCACAAATATGGTCCAACACACATCCTTGCAATTGAGAAAATCACCGCAAATGAAACCTGTAAATTCAACAAAGATATGGGAATTAACGGCTATTCCTTGAAAACTACAATAAAAAGGAAATACTTTGATTTTTATAATACGAATATAGTACTATTTTTCAAAAGAGGAAAGGAACTAACATCAGCTGCTAAATTGATATCAGTATCCTTATAACCAAGCTCTTTGAGAATCTCTCTTAAATGGAGAAATGGACTCGAGATTTCAGTGATCCACATTGTAACCATCATTTCTGAACCACACTGCAGAAAATTTATGAAAACGTTCTAAATATCAAAACCCCGATTCAATTCAAGAAAAAAAAAAAAAACATAACAAGTTAAACAAAAGCAAAAAAGGGTATTACCTTCTCATAAGCAAGACCCGCTACAACTCCAACAATGCTAACTAGATGATGAACAGAATTATCTATTTTTATATTCTTATCAAACAAACAACACACTAAATCATAGATTAAATAAGCAAGACTGACTGATAGAGCTCTCATCTGCACATAATATTCAACAAAACACATTACTATATGTTCAAGATTTTGACATAGATAGCGAAATTGCAACAAAGATTTCAAAACCTGAACAGGGGTTGAGTTTGAGGCCAAGGGACAAACTGGGCATCTCCAGTCTTGAACAGACATAGACGACAAGACAACAGCAAACAAAGCATGAATCGTCGAAACTATACGGTTAGAGAAATCAAAAGATCTTTTCGGGAAAATCTTTCTTATTAACAAGAATGCACTTGTCCATGAGATGACTCCATACACAACCAAATAAATCTTGTCGTAGTGTTCCATGGTTTATTCAACTTGCTCCTTACTTCAAGTATCTAAACCGAACACCATAAGATACGTGAAGAGTTGTTCAATCAAACACACATTTGATTGCACTAAGAAGAAGATGAAAAAACTGGAGACGCAATAAATTGGAAGGTTTTGGTTGAAATAATTAGGTGGCGGTTGGCGTATATTAATTGGTGGGGATAGTGTATGGTGGTAGGTTTGCTGTATTTACTTTCTATTTGTATATATAATAGGGACATTTTACCAGCATAAGATATAATAAACCATAAGTTCAACATCATCGATTAAAGTTCGCTTGCATGCAAAATTTGTTGTAAGGTACGCATATTCTTAGTTATTAATTTGCTCAGTAATATATAAGTGTTTTGTTTGCATTCATTTTGTAGAAATTCTTGAGAAACTACATCCATCATGTGAATTTCTACAGACAATGCCTCGAAGGGTGATCTGACGGAAGTTTTAAATATCGACAAGCTAACTGAAATGATGTGTGCATAGTTAATGTAGATCATTATTGAGGTAATTTCCTTTAGTGCATTTTATGCGTTATATATATATATATATATATATATATATATATATATATATATATATATATATATATATATATATATATATATATATATATATATTCAACTTTATTGAAAAAAGTATTTAACAATTTAGTATACTTTCAAAAATATTTACCAAACTAGTGTTTTTCTTATTTTCTTATATATTTTCATTTTTAGTGTTTTTCTTATTTTCTTATATATTTTCAATTTTCGTGTTGTTTTTATTTTATTTAAATATCAGGTTTTTTTTAATTTCAGTATTTTACATTTTTTTTAAATATCAATTTTTTATTTTCTTTATTTCAGTTTTTTTTTTTTTTTTTTTTTTTTTTTTTTTTTTCCTTTTTTAACATATGTTTAACATAATATAAAAAAACACACAATCCCATGTCAATTAAAATAAAATGTTTTAAGATAATTATGAACTTCGGTAAGAAAAAAAAAAAGACACCTTATTACTTTCTCTTTTGTAAATAGAAATCAAAATAATAAATAATCTTAGACGGATATATATATATATATATATATATATATATATATATATATATATATATATATATATATATATATATATATATATATATATATATCCGTTTAAGATTATATATTATTTTGATTTCTATTATATAGTTTCAAAAATATTTACCAAATTGGTGTTTTTTTCACTTTTCTTCTGTTTTGCGTTTTTTTCTTACTGTTCTTATTTCATTTAAATGTTGTTTTTTTTTTTATTTCAGTTTTTTTCTGTTTTTATTTTTTTTTAAATATCATTTTGTTACTTTTTTTAATATGTTTAAAAAAGTATAAAAACAAAAAGAGAACACATAATTTCATGCATTATCATCAATTAAAAATAAGATATTTTAATTTATTACACTATTATAAATGATTATTGCCATCCATCACAAATAATAACATTAAACGTAGATTTTTTTTCGTTCCAATAGAAATCTTTCTACTAGTAATACAATGTTTAATTTTTAAATGACGTCAAAACATATAGGTTAAACGTATATTAAAAATGATATGATGATCTTTTAATAAATTATGTTAGTCATTGCCAACTTTCAATAATACTTAAATATCCTTATAAATTTCAAAATTATATATATATATATATATATATATATATATATATATATATCCGTCTAAAATTATAAAATTTACATATATATTCAAATTTATATTTTGATGAAGTCTAAATCAGTTTAATATTAAAAAACTTATCAAAAGCAAAACTACATTTTCCAATTTCTTTTGAAACAGATAAAAAACAAACAAACCCATATAAACATAATATTTATAAAAATATTAAAAAGAAAGGTACAACATATCTATTTAAAATATTTTTTCCTTTTCTTCACTACCTCGTAGGTAATTTAAGTAATGAGGATGGGTTTCGTGAACACAAAGATTATTTATTATTTTGATTTCTATTTACAAAAGAGAAAGTAATAAGGTGCCTTATTTTTTCTTACCGAAGTCCATAATTATCTTAAAATATTTTATTTTTAATTGACGAATAATGCATGGAATTGTGTGTTTTTTATATTATGTTAAATATATGTTAAAAAAAGAAAAAAAAACTGAAATAAAGAAAATAAAAAATTGATATTTAAAAAAAATGTAAAAAATTGAAATTAAAAAAACCTGATATTTAAATAAAATAAAAAAAACAAGAAAAATGAAAATATATAAGAAAAACAAGAAAAACACTAGTTTGGTAAATATTTTCGAAGCTATACTAAATTGGTAAATATTTTTTCAATAACACTATTTTGGTCAAAAACTCCATATTTGACTTGATATCTAGGTATTCTTTTAACGACGATGAGTTAATCATAGTGGACAATGAATTAATCATAGTGGGGACATACAGTTTACCAATTACTAATTACATGCACTACTAGAAAAGTGGTGCAATAGCTACAACACAATCCGTAACTATTTAGTAGCTATAAGCGAATTGCTACGGAATTCCTACGGCTACGGAAGTCAATAGCTACAGAAATCTGTAGCTATTCCGTAGCTAATTTCATTTTATGTAAATAAAATTAAAAATTAAAAATTTCCATTTTTTTTTATCAAATAGCATATTCAATTCACATTTGTTCCAAATACCATATAAAATACACTGAAAAACGTTTATAATACCAAGTTTGACACATTTCATTCCATTGTCCAAAATATAATATCAACAAAAAAAATGGTAACACAATTCAATACTTAAACAATAATAGCAATGTACTTTAGTTTATTATAACAATGTATTTTTGTTTATAATACTTTTAGCAACATACTTAACTTTTAACCATAATAACAACATAATTTTTTTTTTTATCAAACTACCAAATTTTTAACCATAACAGCAACATACTTTTATTTATTATCAATTTTATCAATATTATCAATAAACTACTTAACTTTTTAAGCCATAACATGTATCATTTTCTTATTATTTTTACTTGACAATTAAAAATAATAGTTAATAGAAGTATTTAGAAATTAAAAAAAAAATGTTTTTGTAAATGTACGTAACTATTTTACAACAGCCAAAATATAGAAGTAACTTAAATACAAATCAATTCAATTCATACAAATAAGCCAAATCATTTGTTGAATTGCATGTTAACTCAAATTGTACTTTTATCATATATAGCAAGGCACTTGTAAATTTCACCAAACAAAACCAAATCTAAAATTATAAAACCCCAAATCAAAAAAATATAAATAACTCATTACTGTCACAAAATGAAATGCATTTTAAGCACTAAAAAAATACACATCTCAAACTGTGTATTGTTTGTAGCATTTCTAGAAAGAATCTTTGCATCTTTCTGCAACATAACACAAAGCACAAGTAAAAAAACAAACCCGAAATATTAAAACAAAAAAACGAGAAACAAACAAACATATGGTATCATTGTAACAAACAAATTCCTTCCATGTTTTCCTATGCTTAGCTGCAAAGAACCCTACTCAAACCACAGATGGCAAAACCCAAATCAAACATCAACACATACCAAAATCAGGGAAATCACATATTACACATATTGGAAACTAATTACATAATGATTGAGACTCAATACCACTGAAAAAAACATATAATCAATATGATCTTACCTCACAGGCTCAATGGTTCTCATCCTAGAATCGAATGTTCAATAGAAGAAATACTGGAAGTGTAACAACGTAAATTTTAAAACAAAATTTTCATTTTTGCAAACGTTAAAACCATCGTTTAATATTCCAAATTCAAACGTCAACAATGTTATCATAACAAAATATATCCCATGATCATAAAAACAGTTCCTCCGTCAGTGTGTAAAATCACGCCGGCGCCCACGGTCCTCGCTAGTACCGGAAACACATAACACAACAACTGTAAGCATAAATGCTTAGTGAGTTCCCCAAAATACTACTTACGCACATACGCCTTTCTAGGCCCTGACCTTCTGGTCCATGTGTCTCAGGGGACATCCGTCCCGACTCGGTAAACCTTCCGGTCCTACATGCGTCAACCTTACGGTCCACATCACAACGCCTTCCGACCCATAACATATACGCCTTTCGGCCCATAACATAATGCCTTCCGGCCCATATCAAGCATATCATACATAACACATATAACGATTAACTTATCATATACAATGCATATAATTCAGAACATATCCGATCTTCCGGTCACACAATAAAAACCCTTCCGGGTACAGTATAGTGAGAAAACTCACCTCGTGGAAAATCTAGAATCTCATATACTTGCTATCTCCAAATCCTAACGACGACTCTACCTCGCCTAAACATAATAAATATCATTTTCATTATTAAAGACTTCCACAACTAGACTTTACCCCTTATCATCATTCCTACGAGGGTAAAAGACCATTTTACCCTTCCTTGACTCAAAGTCTTCATGTTGACCAAAACCCTAAAAGTCAACAAAAGTCAACCTTTTGAGTACGCGGGGCGTACTACTTGCTGTACGCGGGGCGTACATCGCCAACCCATGGATCGGGGTTTCCACCCAGTACGTTGCGCGTACTGGGAGTTACGCTCATCGTAACCATCAGACTTTAGCATACATCATTTCTGGTCTTAATCGGTTAAGCCATTAATCCAACTTTTAGATCCAACTTTATTTATGTATCTTTACCCATAAAGTTGAAACCTTTAAGCCTTGGCATGGCTGTACAGGCTCCTACACTCCTTAACATCATTCTATTCCAACTCAAGGATCTTGATCTCATGCATGGTGCAACATTCATGTCCAAGATTACATTTTTATGAGTCTACAACTCAAATAGTCCAGAAATATGATGGATCTAAGCTTATGGAGACCATTTGCTAAAAAAGTGTCCACCTTTGGGACTAAAACCCTAGAAAATGGTACTTCAAGCATATTACAAGAGCTATATGTCAAGATCTGAACTTTTTACCTTATAATGAAGCTTCAACCTTTGCAAAGCTCAGATCCACACTTGAACACCACTTCTAGCCTTCCAAATGAGCTCTTCTTCTCCCTTGCTACCTTGAAATGGCACCACCAAGCTTAGAATACTCACAAATGGCCTAAGAACGAATGCACACTCTCTTTAGGGTTTCTTTCTAAGGGATGGTGGTTGAGGAGTCGAGCTACACATCCCTTTGATA